ATCTTGTTCTATGAAATATTTCTGTATCAATGACAATGATTCGTTGGCTCGTTCGGTCGGTCGATGGATATTGCTGATGTTAGATAGCGCGAACAAAAAAATGCAAAAAAGAAGAAGAGGAGGAGGAGGAGGAGGAGGAGGAGGGGGAAGAAGAAGATGAAGAAGCAGAAAGAAATCGTTGCATGTTTGTCGAAACACAAAACATTGGCGGTATTGCCTCAAAAGGATTAATATGATACATGGAAACTATTTTATCGTCATCTTACGCAGTCTGCCTCGCGCTCGTTCTCTCTCTTTCTTTTGCTTGCTTACTCTCTTTTTTTGCATTGCTCAATGATATCGTGCACTGTTTTAAAAGACATAATGCTGCACGATCAGGCTTTGGCTTGTCTGTGCAGCACACATTGTGAGTGTGCTATTCAAAGTGAAGCGTTTCAAGTTTCAATTTTTAGTGCATTTTACATTTTTTTTATCCATTCGAAATTTGCGAGGTCGGTCTCGCGCTGATGTGTTTCAATGTTTCTTTGAAATGTGGTTTTGCAATGGCGAGGCGAATAAAATGGCGCACTGTTCTCTGTCTCTCTTATCTGTTTTTGACTTTGAGCGCGCAGAATGTTTGGCATCCTTTACGAATTCACTTCGTTGCGAGCTGCTTTTTTTTGGTGCATTTTGGAATTATTCGTCACAAATACATACAACATGCGATGTTGAGCGCACGAACGAATGAGCACGCGCACGTTCAAAAACCGAATGCCAACCCAACGATGGGCTCTCTCTCTCTCTCTCTCTCTCTCTCTCTCTCTCTCTTTCAATGCGAATGGATTACTTTTTGAGAAAATTCCATACAATAAAGTCTCTTTTTTGGCTGGAGTTAAGTAGCAGATTTTGGGGTTTTTGTGGATTGTAATACATAATGTACGGTTCGGTTTTTTTTCTGTGCATGAGATAAAGAAAGAGAATATGAAAGAAAAGAGGAAATGAACAACCAACAACAACAACGACCACGACGACGTCGAAACGAAAACGTTCTCCAATAATTTATTAACGAGATACATTCGAGATGTGTGCCTTTAGAATTTTTTGTGCAATGAACATTGCCGCTGCACTCGGTTATTCCCAAGAGAAACGGCCAATATGTTTATACGCTGTCTATCCGCCGAAAATACACTACAATATATATATATTCACGCTTATTGGACGCCGAATTCAATATATATTCTAGTGTATATTCGGTGTATTCTTCAGCGTGAAACATATTGAATCAACGAATGCATTCATGGCCACCAGAGGGCGCCTGAATATGTTTCAATATGTTTCACACCGAAGAATACGCTGAATATACACTAGAATATATATTCAATTCAGCGTTCAATAAACGTGAATATATATTGCAGTGTATTTTCGGCGGATACACATATGACAGAGTATAAACATATTGGCCGTTTCTCTTGGGTTGTTATCCCATTTTGAGTTGACATGTATGCGGCACAGCCTCACCACGTACGCATCCAACGAACAATATTTCCATGCAACAACATTTGCGAAAAACAATCCGGCAACAAACACACACCGGAGAGAACAAAGGCAAAAATACAAAAGGAAAATAGCACCGAGAGATGCACAACGCAATTGCAAACGAAAATATTGCTCTTCCGCCGTTGAATGCATACAGTTAACGGAAAGAAAGAAAGATGAAGAAAAAAAGACAGCGCGAGCAAGAGAGAGAGAGAGAAAGATGGAGAAAGAGATCGCACCGTTCGTTTGAGCGAGGTTTGATCGTTTTGTATACAAATGCACAATAAACATTAGCCATAAAGTCAGCTAATTTATATTTTTACATTTATCGTGGTAGATTATTTTCTATCTGCTTTGCCGAGCGAAAGTACGTATAACCACCGACGTACAATTTTGTATCATTTCGCATCGATGCGATGCGCTCAGTCTCTCTTAACGATACTCAAAAACGAAATGCCAATGCAATGTAACAACTTTTACGGTGCCTTGTAACGGCTCGAGTTCGCTTTTTGTCTCTCTATCTCCCTCTACATCTCTTTCTCACTCTGTGTATGTGTGGCGTGTGTATGCACGGAATGGAAACCTAACCCATGCCGATTTGAAAATATTGATTGTTATTTTTTTCCGCGTTTTTTTCTGCGCTTGTTTTACGATATAAAACATTTTAACGTTGATGCAACGTTTTGCATTACACGGCGAGATATAAAAGAGAGAGAGAGAGAGAGAGAGAGAGAGAGAGAGAGAGAGAGAGAAGAGACAATATGTGGCTCGCTCACATAAAAAAAATAGCAACAATAAAACTGCGGAAAGAAAAGCGCTCTTTGAACACAAGGCAAACGAACACCACTTTTTTTTCTTTACTTGGCTTATAAATTCCTATCTCCATCAGCAGCAGCAGCAGCATGTATGCGCTATACATATCGATCCGAGGCTGTATTTGTGCTGGCTTTTAATATTATGCTCGATAGTTGTGCTCTTCAGCGTGGGGATTTCGAGGTCAAAACATTGCTGCTTCAATGCTTAAACGCGGAGGCGTTAAACTTAAGCAAACGTTATAGTACGTACGCCAGCCACTCTTGCAATGGACATGAACGCTAAGCCAATGCCGATCGAGATTACTCTTCGCGCATTCACGAAAGAACAGAAAATCGTTGCTCCTTTCATTTTATCATCGGTGCCATAGCAACAGTCGCGTACGAACCAAACGAAAGGACAAGCATTCCTTCGGTTGTCAACCAATTTAAAATACAAACAAAATGCTAAAGTATTCATTTTGTTTCGATTCTGTTGCGTTCAAACGATACTGACATTCAGTTTTCAAATGAAGATGAAATCCCAAATGGTCGTCATTAATTGATCGACAGAGGTAGATAGGGGGAGAGAAAGAGAGAAAACAACATTTGTTGTCTTTTCATCTTTGAATTTATACACAAACAGGAAAAACCACGAACAAAATACCTTTGGCACACCCTTCAATAAAAAAAAACTAAATGCCCGAGACAAATAAATTGAAGCCGAATCACATTTTCACAGCAATGCATTTTTAATCGAGCATCTTCTATTTTACCTAATGATACTTCGTTTTTCCTTCTTCAAATCTCACATCTTTTATGATATGTTTTATTTCTCTCTTTTTTGTTGTCGTTGTTGTTGTCCGTTTTCTGTCTACTCATTTTCGTCTCTAACAAAAGCCACTAACACCTTCTATGGACCTGTTTGCGTTGATTCAATGCATCGATAGAGAAATAGGGGAAAAGATGAAAAATAACGATCATTTTTTCGGATTTTTTTAAAAAATAACTTATATATACACATATTCAATCCAAACCCAAATCCATTTGGACGCTACATTTGTTTCTTTCTACAGCCGATCAACCTTGCTACAAAACATGAAACTTTATACACCAACATAACTTAAACCATTCGAAATGTATGTAACTCCCTTAACTACATAATAAGAAAAATAAATCAAAATAATCGCATCGGATTGTACAATACAAAGAGAGAGAGAGAGAGAGAGAGAGAGAGAGAGAGAGAGATCTTCGACATTCCCAAAACTGGTGGATGCATATGGTGCATAAGACGATTGTTCGATGTAAGGGAAACATTTTTACGCATTTTGTTCAATCATTTCCGTTATAATTGAAAAACGTAAATCGTTTTTAGCTGAGAGGTTTGCTGAAAACGAGATGAGTATTGCGAGTCAACACGAAAACTGAAAGTGAATTACAATTGAACCCCAGCGTATAAATCAAACGCAATCATCTCTGAATGTTGATTACTTTTCACCGACTTTAGTTCTCTTTTACCATCCTTTTCCATCGATGTATCGATTAATTAATTTTTGCTACCTCCTCTTCTTGAAGTTGACTAATTCAATCGAAAGAAAAAAGAACACAACAAAAATGTGGACAGCCATCTGTTCGGGCATCATAATTATTTGTTAACCATTCTAATAAGAATAAGAGAATGGTTCGACATACCAAACTTTAGTTTTTGCTTCTTGGAAGGAATTCGCGTGATGGATTACCTCAATTCTCTATAAATATTCTGTATACTCTACTCGTTGAACAAACAAAAAAACGTATATGAACGCAACTTTCCAAACTCATTACGTAGCCCCCGAAATATGTAAAACATGATTCATTTTTTTTGTTTTACTTCATCAAATATTTTACGACCTGTCAACATTCGAATGACCAATTTCATGCCATTAGTAGTTTTATATATGAATTTGAAGTGGCCAACATTGTGATGCTTTCGAGGGAGAAAAAAAACATTTGATTTTGAATCAAACGCTTTTCATCATCGACTCTTTTTTATAACATGAAACCAAATCATTATTTGAACAAAAAAATACTTACCTGTTAGAATTGATACAATTTTGTTTCAAGATTGATTTGAAAAAGGTAGAATTTTCAACAAAAAATATGAATTTATTCAGTCAATGATAACCATGATGTTGGCCACTAACCGTTTTTCGAAAAATATCGTTTAATCCATTTCTATATTGATTTCGGTTGTTTGTATCAAGAATTCGGGACTTTAATAGCTAAGCAGTTGAGATATTTTTTTCCGTGTGTATTGACTTGAAAAAAATAAATAAAGGTGGCTCCATCTGTTGCACCGTAGTCCAAATGTGCACGGTTTCGAGACAAGACTTAATTTTTTGATAGAAAAACTTGTCAAAATTGTATTGTTTTCAAAGCGTATTCAGTTTGATAAGGTTGGAGCTCAGCATAAAAATATTGTGTGATTACATCTTGTTTCTTTAATACTTTGCCGGTCTTTATTTGGGTAAGCATGATGCTGCAATTTTTTTGTTGTCCATTTAATCAAATTGGACGGAAAAAAAGTTCTTCTGATTGATTGAATCTAAATGTGTTTCGGGTGTGTGAGAGTACTCTAATAACATCACGTAGCTTTGGTTATAATTGGGAAATTCAAGAAAAACTCGATAACTTCCCTAAAATATGCACTGAAAACGGGTCAAATTTATTATTTTCCCAGTGAAAATCAAATTTTTTGTTTCCACAGTGTGTGCAAAGATTTTGATATTAAAAAAACTACTTTTATTAATAGCAATATGATTATATAATGTCAATTGTCAATGTCAAAGTCAGAATTCACAATGATTGTCTTCTTTGTTTTTCTTTGTAGCTAAATTTGTGATTGTGAAAATGATGCGACTTTTTGCAAAAACGACTGCGGCGCAATTGTCGTCACTTCGAACATTGGAAAATGTTCGTTTTGTATCGCAAACGCCGCGCCTTCTGGAGAAATCGGATGCATCGAAACCAACAACACCACCGGCTGAATCGCAGTCGCCGACACCAACCGCTGATGCACCACAACCAGCCGCTGAAGGATCCCAGCCGTGGCAACAAAAGAAATCCCTACACACAGTAAACAATTTTGACAAGCGTGTTTTAGTCTCATCTGGAAAATACAAAACCATCGATGAAGTACCCGAAAGAGTGGCGTAAGTGTCAAACTCTGTGTGCAACAAACCAAATTTTAATGTTTTTTTTCTTGTTTCCTCCTTTTGCAGACAAGAAACACTTGATCGAGCTCGTGATCGGTTCCGTGTTAAAATGTGCATCTACATGATGATTATTTGCGTGCTTATCTGTATTGTTCAAATCTTTCGCGGAAAAAATGCCGCTGAACGTGGCGAGAGCGTGGTGAATACTAATCTAGAATGGCATCGTCAATACAACGAAGGAGTCACCACCAAAAAGGAAAATAAATAAAGAAGAATAGACTGTGTGAATGATTCAAAGCAATCGAATGTCGGTAATGCTGAATTCAAGCGTTGCAACAAACAAACGTTCAACGGGTATTCATGTATTCATTTAAAGTGGCTGTATATAATACGAAATAAAACACCAAACAAATCCATTTTATTTTCGTGATTCACATCATCTGATAAGATAGAAAGTAGTTTTAATTGATTTTTTGCTTTCACTGGGAAAAACCTTGATTGAATTGCATTTTACAAGTGGAATGTATATGTTTATAAAAATAAAACAGACAAAAAATATGATGCGCAAAATCTTAAGTGGGTAGCAAACAAATGCTTAGAATGTCGCAACTCCTGAACTAGATTCCACAATCCACACGCAAGCACTTCTCGTGTCAAAGAACCGCTCGGTATTTCCTGAGGTTTGTTTCTATTTTGAGTAACGTTTGATTTATTATCAATGTTTCATTCGTGTTCTTCCAGACGAGCGAATTTAATTGAAAGGATGAATGATTCAACAGGAAAAGATAATGACTTAACACTGGATTAAGAGAGAGATTTGAATTATGACCCAATTTTCATTTTCATTGCGAAATAATAAACTTGTATTGGTTTGATTACTACGCCGCACAGCCAGTTAAGATAGATATTGATTCATATAAAAACGGTATAATTTTTGGTTCTCACCTCATTCTGCTGTCCATTTATTCGGAGTAAAACTTGAAGATTGATTCGAAAATGAAGTTGATACTAGTTGTGCTGTGTTGCATTTTGCAATCAATAGCCGGGAAATACATTGGCTCCGACCAAATTTGTAAGAAAAATGTGAAAACTAAGGAAGTGTTCAGTTTGGATCTAAATGTTGTTAACGTTTATTGAATTGCTCTAGTGTTCCCACCGCAACCGTCATCAACCAGAATTGTTGGAGGCGTCGATGCTGAGGATGGTGCAGCTCCGTTCCAATGCTCGTTGCAGTCGAACAAAAGACACAGCTGTGGATGTGCTATTATTTCGGAAGAATGGATTGTCACCGCCGCCCATTGTGTTGCTGGGTATAAAAAATGACGTTACGCAGTCTTTTTTTTCTCCATTCTATCACTCACATAAATCATATTTCAAACAGCCGAACACCAACAAATCTGGAAATCTACGTTGGATCGAACGACTTGAAGAGTGGTGGAACTTACTACAAAGCTGACAAAATCATTGCTCACAAGCAATACAACAAGCCCAATTTTGCTAATGACATCGCCGTGATTCGTGTGCAAGGATCAATTACATTCAGTGATAGAATCCAAGCAATCGAATATTCATCCGAAGAAGTACCCGATGGTGCTGTTCTCCAACTAACTGGATGGGGTTCATTGCAAGTAAGTTTAGTAAATGCGGTTTTTTTTCAATGAATATTTTCAAACCGGATATTTTAAATAGGTCGGAGGTGCAACGCCACAACTCTTGCAAATCATTAAATTGAATGCAGTCCAAACCAAAAGATGCAGAGCAATCCATGGTCCAAGTGCACCCGTCCATAACTCCCACATTTGTACATTAACCAAAGCTGGAGAAGGCGCTTGCCACGTAAGCTTTTTAATTAGGAATTGAGAAACATGGCATGAGGTATAAATCTATTTAATATTTCAGGGTGACTCCGGTGGTCCACTGGTTTACAACAACAAATTGGTTGGACTCGTTAACTGGGGAACTCCGTAAGTGAAATTGAATCAAACATATAAATCCTTTCTTTAAACAATTGTTTTCAAAATTCAAAATTCTTTTCATCTCTTGCATTCAATTTAGATGTGCCAGAGGCAAGCCAGATGCCTATGCGAAGGTTGCCTTCCTATTTGATTGGATTAAGAATAATACTGCATGAAGCTGAAATCCCATAAGCTAATTCTACTTTCCTTTTAATCACTGAAATGAACTAATGGAATAAATTTAATGTGAATAAAGATTTTTTCGTTCTGAATTTAATCAAAAATTTTCTATCCATTGCCTATTCACGATCCTCCTCACAATCTTAAGAATAAAGATCAATTTTATTGGTTTTACTTAAGTCTACTTATAGTTCCAATGATTCGCAAACAATGTAAAATAATTTAAGAAATATCAATTATCCAAGTCATAAGAAAAATGTTTGTTCTTTTTTTCTTTCAATGAAGCAATGATATCGAACGTACTCATGGGAATCTGAAACACAAGCTCAAACTCATTTTTATCAGAACTGTTTTAGACATTTTCCCATCAAAATTTTGTTTCAATCGGCAGTGATCATGGACCACGATTCTTTTCCAATATATTCGAATGAGAAGTTGACTCACAGAATATTTTCAAGTCAAGAATTTCAAATTGGCGGCGCACTGCCATAGAAATCGAAGCGCATTTCGTAATATTGTGTTTATTATGCACAGTCATAGTACTCGATACAAAATATCTCAAGTGGCTGGTAAACAAATGCTTAGAATGTCTCAACTTTTGAAAAAGTTCAACATGTAATCAATGTTTGTGTCAATTCCCCAAGATTTGTTTTTATTTTAGACGTTTGGTCATTGCTTAGTGATAAACCCTGCCGATTCTTGTCTCTTTTTACTTATTATATTTGGTTTTGTTTTTTGGTATTCTGTAGGGGATTGACTAACATTTTGTAGGTTTAATGGGAAATGATGATCCAACATCGAAGGAGATATCCGCCTCATTTTGGTGAATAGAGTTTGCTGCAAAGAAGTGATTTTGATTTGTTTGAATACTACGGCGTAAGTAGTTGAGTGGCCCTGGTAATGATATGGCGCTTTTCTCCTCGAGTTGTTTGCTGATCAGAAGAGACTCTTCAGATGGTTCGTATAAATACGGCTCAGTTTCACAGTAGAACCATCAGTTTCTTAGTTGTTCATAAACTAACAAGTGAATTAAAAGCTACAATTGCGAAAATGAAGTTGACATTAGTTGTGCTGTGTTGCATTTTGCAGACAATAGCCGGGAAATATATTGGCTCCGACCAAATTTGTAAGAAAAATGTGAAAACTAAGGAAGTGTTCAGTTTGGATCTAAATGTTGTTAACGTTTATTGAATTGCTCTAGTGTTCCCACCGCAATCGCCATCAAACAGAATTGTTGGAGGCGTCGATGCTGAGGATGGTGCAGCTCCGTTCCAATGTTCGTTGCAAGTGAGCAAAAGTCATATTTGTGGATGTGCTATCATTTCGAAAGAATGGGTTGTCACCGCCGCCCATTGTGTTGCTGGGTAAAACGAATGAATTTGTACAGTTTTTTCCCTTCCATTACTCACTTGTATCCATGTGTTACTCACAGTCAATCTGCAAAAAATCTGGAAATCTACGTTGGATCAAATGACTTGAAGAGTGGCGGAACTTCCTACAAAATTGAGAAATTCATAGCTCACGAGCAATACAACAAGCCCTCCTTTGCTAATGACATCGCCGTGATTCGTGTGAAGGGATCAATCGCATTGAACGATAAAGTCAAAACAATCGAATACTCTTCGGAAGAAGTACCCGATGATGCCGTTCTCCAACTAACTGGATGGGGCCGATTGCAAGTAAGTTTAGTAAATGTGGACTTTTTCGAAGAAGATTTTCAAACCAGAATTCTTAAATAGGCTGGCGGTGCGTTACCACAACTCTTGCAAATCATTAAATTGAATGCAGTCCAAACCGAAAGATGTAAAGAAATCTATGGTTCAAGTGCACCCGTCCATGACTCCCACATCTGTACATTGACCAAAGTTGGTGGAGGCGCTTGCAACGTAAGTTGTATTTAATGTGGATCGAGATCGAATGAGTTATTAACCCATTCATTATTTCAGGGTGACTCCGGTGGTCCACTGGTTTACAACAACAAATTGGTTGGACTCGTCAACTGGGGAGTTCCGTAAGTCGAATTCAATCAAACACATAAATCAATTCTTTTCAAAATTCAATTTATTTTCATCTCTTGCATTCATTTTAGATGTGCCAGAGGCCAACCCGATGCCTACGCGAAGGTCGCCTTCCTGTTTGATTGGATTAAGAATAATACTGCGTCAAATTGAAATCCCTTAAATCAATTCTGCTCTCCTTGTAATCACTGAAATGAACTAAAGTAATGAATTTAATGTAATAAATAAAGATTTTTTCGTTCTGAATTAAATCAAAATCTTTCTCTCTATTGTCTATCCTCTATCCTCCTCTAGTTCTAAATGAGGAAATGCAGCTCTAAATTCAAGTTACGTTAGTTGTAATTTTGTAATTTGAATATTTTCGCATCCATTTTACCCAATATTCGTCTATTTTTCTCCTTCTCAAATAAAGCGGTAAAACGGGAAGAGCAAATTAGAAATATCGAGAAAATTAGGCAAAACTTATCTCAATAAATCGACACTTAGAAAAATCGGAAAATATTTTGAAAAATGTGTTTATTCATCATATACATATAAATCGTTGAGAACATTTTTGGAAACGGGAAAATGAAATTGAAAGTTAGAAAAGTGTTTCGTGAAGCTGGCCAAAAAAAAGTTTCAATAAAAATGAACTTCAAATTTCGTTTTTAAATGTCTTTGAACAAAAATTTATGATTCATTTTGAACTGAATTTTTTTAATATCGGTTCGCTTTTGACGAAGCCTTTATTTCTCAAGAGTTTAGTTTTATTTCATTAGGACTCTGGATCAACAGCAGATAAATGTGAAGTATTAAATGATATTTGATATGGGGCATCTTGAGTGGCTGGCGTACAAATGCTTAGAATGTCACAAGCATAGTCGATATATCGAGATTGAGTTGAATTCCACATGCAAGTACTTCTCGTGTCGACGAACTACTTAGCAGAGTTCCATTTTGAATGTTTAGAGTCATTGCCTGACACAATAATTGGCCAATTCTGGTCTCTTTTTACGCATTTCCCTTCTTTCAAAAGATGTTTTTTTCTATTCTTCATAAATTTGATAGTTTATACGGATTTAATATCAAATGACGATTAAATATTGAGTTGAAGGCAATAATTGAATTAGCAACCAGAATGACCTAAAATTCACACGCATTTCAAAGTATGAAACTTTGATTTGCTCGATTACTACGCCGTAATTTGTTAAGATGTTCCAAAGGTGCTGATAATGGTATAACTCTATATGGGTATTCCTAAAAGACTCTTCACTTGATTTATATAAATACAGCATATTTTAACGGTGGAATCATCAGTTTTTCTTTAGTTTTAGACTAACAAGTGACTTACTAATTGCAAAAATGAAGTTGACATTATTTGTGTTGTGTTGCATATTGCACTCAATAGCTTGCCATTTCGATAGTTCCGACTATATTTGTAAGTAAAATGCCAGATTTTTTTTTTCTTCAAAAAAGTGTTCAGTCCATAAACGTTTAATTGAATTGCTTTAGTGTTCCCGCCACAACCAACATCAAGTCGAATCGTTGGAGGTGTCGATGCCGAGGATGGTGCAGCCCCATTCCAGTGCTCAATACAATTGGGCCGAAGACACTTCTGTGGATGTTCTCTCATATCGGAAAAATGGATTGTCACAGCTAGCCACTGCGTCATGGGGTATAACAAGTTATTTCATATCGCTTTCTATTATTTACTTACATTCATGTTACTTACAGTCAATCTGCAAGAAATATGGCAATTTACGTTGGATCAAATGACTTGAATAGTGGTGGAACTTACTACAAAGTTGAGAAATATATAACCCACGAACGATACAATCAGCCAGGTTTTGCCAATGACATTGCTGTGATTCGTGTGCAACGATCGATCACATTCAGTGATAAAATCCAAGCCATCGAATACTCACCCGAAGAAGTACCAGACGAAGCTGTTCTCCAACTAACTGGATGGGGTCGATTGCGCGTAAGTTCGAAATAAAAGTTTTGTTTTTCTTTGAAATGAAATTTCAATCCAACGATTTATATAGGCTGGCGGTGCAGTGCCACAACTCTTGCAAATCATTCAATTGAATGCTGTTCAAACGGAAAGATGTAGAGAAATCTATGGTGGCAACAACGTTCACGACTCCCACATCTGCACATTGGCCAAAATCGGTGAAGGCGCTTGCAATGTAGACAATATTTAATTTGTATTGTGATCAAATGAGGCATCAATTCATTTTTTTTCTTCTAATTTAGGGTGACTCTGGTGGTCCTCTCGTATTCAACAACAAATTGATTGGAGTTGTCAACTGGGGAGTTCCGTAAGTATAATCCAAACAACAATGCGAATAACTTTTTAACATACGGTTAGTGCAAAAGCATTTACTGCCCTACCTAACGCGAGTGCCATCTGTTCAGTTTGAACATGAAAACAAACAAATTGATCCATACTAAGTTATAATACAACAACATCTCTATATAGAGGAAACGCTGTGGTTCGTTTTGTTCGGCTTATTTTTTATACACTGCCTTCATTTCCACCGATTCATATATCGGTTGGCAGCTGGAGTCACTTTGTTTGTTTTCATGTTCGCATCGAATAGATGGCGTTTGCGTTAGGGAGAGCAATAAATTCTTTTGCACTAAAGGTATGCTTTTTAAAAATAATTTATCAAAAAATCCATCAATTTCTTTTCAATTCTCTCATTAATTTAAGGTGTGCAATGGGTTATCCGGATGCTTACGCAAAGGTGTCCTTCCTTTATGATTGGGTCAAGAATAAAACTGAATCAAACTGATTTTTCTTCTTTAGATTAATACATTACTCGAACTTATTAAGAACGGTTTAATGAACTTGAGCAAATTTTAATTTTCAAATTGGGTGCACATGATATCACAATTGTTAGAAATAAAAACTTTTCATACCGAATCAAATCAATATCTTTCAATGAATCACCAATTCTGATCAAAAACTTATTTGTCTGCATTTTTTTAAATTTCTAATATGATAAGAGTACCGTATAGATGTCTACAGCTTAGTGGCGTTGACTGACATTCAACACCTATGGTTCCATACATATTTCACCCGCTCAGCGGGTTGAATATTCTATATTATATACATATTTAAGCTGGATATGATATATCTGGATAAAAAAATATGGTCGAATTTAAACAAGATATTAAAAAAGTGTTGAGAAGAAAAAAAATTTAAATTTTTAGAGGAATGCGTGTATTCTAGGGGGTGGACACGATTAGTAAATTAGAATCTAATACAGTAAATTAGAGAATATTAGAAAATATTAGAAACTGAAATGTTTGATGACTTTGACATGGCAAATGCTATGCCAATACGATTCTTTATGAAGATTTTTGTTTTGTTTGATGAAACAAAACGGTAGACAATACTGTTATTTGTCAACAAGTCTGCCAATTTCAACGCATTACCACTGTGCATAGTACAGAGACGTAAAATGTTCGCCATTTAGTTTTACATTGCCAATGCATTTCCTTATAGAGATTTTAGTTTTGTTTAATTTTTGTTGTTTGTAAACAAATCTGCCAATCCTTTAACATTGCCTCTGTATATTTCGTATGGACCATATACTAAGTACAGAGGCAATGCTAAAAGATAGGCAGATTTGTTTACAAACAACAAATAAACAAAACAATAATCTTCATAAGGAAATGCATTGGCAACGTAAAACTAAATGGCGAACGTTTTACGAGAATATTAGAAGATATTAGCACTTCCAATCGATTATTAGAAATATTAGAGAAAACTAAATGAAACTTGGGATATATTTCCAAAAATTAGACAGAGTAGTGATATTAGACCAATATTAGAATCCGTGTCTATCCCCTAGCGTGTATTGCTTAAAAAAGTGTGTAAATATTGTAACTGACCAGTCAGTTAACAAATTTCGGACAAAAATGACTTAAGGCTACTTCCAAGAATTACAATCGTACACTCAAACCATTCTCCGTACAAATTTTGAGCTTTTCACCCCAAATAGGAGTAATACACAATACATTCCATATAGGTGTATTCCATTGTGGTGTATATTCTATACCATAATGGAATACAATAATACAAATACTTACTCCGATATGGAGTGAATTGTGTATTACTCCTATTTGGAGTGAAAAACTCAAAATTTGTACGGAGAATGCTTTGAGTGTATACGATTACAATCGAGGGCGATCGGAGTTTTTGCTATAACTTTTGAACCACTGAAAATACTTTAGAAAATTTTATATTTTTTGAAAGATGGAATCTTCCTCTTTCAAAAATTGTGTATTTTTTCAGAATTGGTTCATTGGTTCAGAAGTTATAGCAAAAATGCTGTGATACGTTCAAGATCGTAGCACGATTTGCGAATCGTGACACGATCTTAAACGATTTACAGCATTTTTGCTATATTCGTCAAACTATTGGGTCTGGGAATTAGTTTTGTCGATTTTTTTAAATTTTCAAACATTTATTTGAATACCAAAATGAAATTACATTTCAATCAAAATATTGTCCATCGGAAGCGATGACCTTCTGCCACAATGTGGGCAATTGACGGATGCCTGCCTTAAAAAATTCCTCATCTTTTGAGGCTATAAATGCATCGAGCCAATATTGGATTTCTTCAACTGAAGAGAACCGCTCTCCGTCCATATGGTTTTGCATCGATCGAAACAAATGGTAGTCGGAAGGAGCCAGGTCTGGGCTATACGGGGCGTGAGCCAAAACTTCCCATCCGCTATTTTCCAAGTAGTTTTTGACCGATTTCTCAATGTGTGGCCGAGCATTGTCATGTAGGAAAATCAATGTCTCTTTTCTGGTCTCCCATTTCGTGCGTTTTTCTTTGATTGCTTGTTTCAAACGTATCAATTGTTGTCGGTAGAAAGGCCCATCGATGGTTTGACCACTTCTCAGCAGCTCATAATACACCACTCCCTCCTCATCCCACCAAATAGACAGCATTACCTTGTCGCCGTGAATTTCTTGTTTTGGCTGTGATGTTGCTGGTTGGCCGGGCTTAACATACGATGCTTTGCGCTTGGGGTTATCGTAATGAATCCATTTTTCGTCACCAGTGACAATTCGATACAGAAAACCTCTTTTTTTGTGCCTTGCGAGCAGCATTTCGCAAGTCACTAAACGCCTTTCAGCTTGCGCTGGCGTCAATTCATGTGGTACCCAATTTGACAACTTGCGAATGAAACCAAGGGCCCTTAAACGATATCCAACAGTGCTTCGGTCAACATTCAATGCTCTGGCAAGCTCATCTTGAGTTTGACTCGAATCTTCATCGAGCAATGCCTCCAATTCCGCATCTTCAAACTTTTTTGGCTGGCCGGGACGTTCCTTGTCTTCCGTGCTAAAATCACCACTTTTGAACCGTGAAAACCACCGTTCACATGTACGTTCCGATGGAGCATGCTCACCATAGGCTTCCACCAACATTCGATGCGCTTCAGCCGCAGTTTTCTTCAAATGAAAGCAAAAAATTAATGCTTGCGGGAAATGTTGCTTTTTCGGTACAAAATTTGACATATTTAAGGCGCAAAAAAAAATGTTTATCCAAACTTCGATGAAATGATAGATGGTGATTTTTGTAGTTTGACACTAGACCACTCATGTGAAAAAGAAAAAAGTATTGCCCGATACAACCATGCAAAGTTACGCCATCTTTTGAAAAATCGACACGATTAATTCCCAGACCCAATACTTGGTGGATTTTGAAAAAATATACATTTTTTGAAAGAGGAAGATTCCACCTTTCAAAAAATATAAAATTTTCTAAAATCCGTTCAGTGGTTCAAAAGTTATAGCAAAAACTCCGATCGCCCTCGATTGTAATCGTACACGATTGTAATTCTTGGAAGTAGTGCCTTTACTTCGATTGACATTTCAGTACAACGTGTAGTGTAAGTCTATCAAAGTTAACTGAAATCGTTCAAAGTTAGAAGTCAAAATAAATTGTTTATTTTGGGACAAAGTGATCAACTACAGTCAACTGAATCTAAAGTCAGCTAGTCATTTTTTTCCACACGGGGAACTCACTGACTTATACGTATTCAAATGCAAATTGCTTTTAGAGAGTATTAACTCTCATAAAATGGACTCAATTGAGATATTCTTTAGTAATATATTTTTAAAAATAGAACAAATTTTAATCGCAAACATTTCATGCGCTGCAAAAAAGTCAGAACAACAGAGTAAATTATTTATTGAGACGTTTAAGAACTCTGCTCTCGTGTTATTCTCGTGAAATTGTGACTTGCCCATGGGTAAAAATTTTCACCTGCCCATGGGCGAAATTTTCACTTGCCCATGGGCGAATTTGTCACCAATGGGCGTAAAAGCCTTGTTCATGGCCGAAATTGTGACTTGCCATGGGCGAAGTTTTCACTTGCTCTTGAGCGAAATTGAATAGTTGCCCATGGGCATCTATGACAAAAGTCTTATGACAAAAGATTTATGAAAAAAAACACATACCCAAAAATGTCACCTAGCATGGAACAAAAGAAGAAATTTTTGAAGGAGGATTTTTCTCATCACATACGGCGCTGTAGCTCCCTTCACAGCTAGAAAACCATTCTGAAAATTTAAACGCAGCTTAATCACAGCACAACTAATGTCAACTTTATTTTCGCAATTGTAGCTTTTAATTTGCTTGTTAGCTTATGAACTGAGAGATTGATGGTTCTACCGTGGAACTGAACTGTATTTAAACGGGTCATCTGAAGAGTCTCTTCTGTTCAGCAAACAGCTCGAAAAAGGAAATGGTATATCCTTATCAACGCAACTTGACTACGTAATATTCAAAAATAAAAATAAAAAAACAATACTTTGTGATACTTCCTAAGCTTTTCAAGGTTTCTTCTGAAGCGAATATATTAGAAAAGATCCGTGGTCCATGAGTGTTGCCGATTTCAAGCGATTTTCGATGTGAAAAGTCTAAAGAATCTGATAAATCTCTCAAAGGCTCCGACAAAAATACTGTTCCGGCTCTAATTTGTTCATACCTATCGACTTACAAACAGGTTCAAAGAGTTTGAACTTATGTTTCTAGATTTCCATACAGAACTATTAATATCACTGCATGGATAATTTTAGGAGAAATAAAAGAGAAAATGTTTTTTTTTTCCAAAAGTTCATTAAAGGATATATTTTTCTTAATTCATTTTACATTGTTTGCGAATCAAATTGGAAGTATAAGTAAACTTAACGGAATCAATAGGATTCATCCCAAGGGGGAAAGCAGTGATCTAGTACTGCATTCAATGCTGATTCAATGTCGATTTAATGCCAATTCAATGTCACTAAATTTAAATCAATGCTATTCACTGCAATCTACTCCTGTCAAACCAGTAATCTCGTACATCAATCGATGACGGTAGTGGATTGCAGTGAATAGCATTCTTTTGAACTTATTGGCATTGAATTGGCATATTAAATCGGCATTGAATGCCAGAGATTGCATATTTGCTGCTGAGTAGGCCTGAGCTGAGCTGAATTTGCTAACTCAGGCGCCTGAAGCGTTATTTTAACGCATTCACAGTACAAAATTCATATTCCCAGCCAGATTTGCCAAGTCAAATTTGAGGCTGATCTGGCTGGGAATATGAATTTTGTACTCTGAATGCGTTAAAATAACGCTTCAGGCGCCTGAGTTAGCAAATTCAGCTCAGCTCAGGCCTACTCAGCAGCAAATATGCAATCTCTGTTGAATGCAGTACTAGATTACTGCTTTCCCCCTTGATTCATCCTGTTTGGCATACGCTGCTGATGTATAGTCTTTAGCTTGCTTCATTCAGATTCCAGTATTTTCCTTGACCCAATCATGCAGAAAAGATACCTGTAGTTAATTGAGCAGTTTATTAATATGACACTTTAATCATAATAGTCATATTCGTACGTACCTTTGCATGGGCGTCTGGGTAGCCTTGTGCGCATCTGTAAAGAAAAGACCTTTTTAACTAGTTTCAATAAAATTTTGGACGAGCTATCTTACGGGCGTCCCCAATTAACAAGTCCGATCAATTTATTGTTGAAAACAAGTGGACCACCAGAATCACCCTAAATTGTTTGAAAAAGATTCATTAGTCAATTGATAGATAGTGTAAAATCTTCATATACATATTTAGATGAGCAACTCACATAACAAGCACCTTCACCCGCTTTGTTGAATGTACACAAATGACTATCATGAACAGTATCGCCATTGATTTCTCTACATTCAGGTGTTGAAATTACAGTTAGATTTAACACTTGTAACTTATCTGGCACTGATCCAGAGGTCTGATGAAAAATAAAATTAAAAAAAGGTAACAAAAGTGCTTAATTAGAATGTTAAATTAAATTATAAATTATCAATTGTTTGTTTACGCTTAAACGGCCCCATCCAGTCAATTGAGCCACAGATCCTTCTGGAACCTCATCCGCTGAATATTCAATTGGCTTAACTTTGTCATTAAACTCGATTGATCCTTTCACTTGGATCAAACCAATGTCATAAGCATATGGCGGGTCACCATAACTCTCATGCCTTATGACCTTTTCAATCTCATATTGAGTTCCACCTGATGTTAGACTATTGGTTCCTACTAAAACCTTTATTCTACCGGGCATGAAAATTAAAAATTAATTTTGAATAATACGTAATTAACGTTTTACATCAAACGAAATTTTATTTTATTACCCGCCCATTAAGCAGTGCGCAGCAGTAAGAATCCATTTCTCCGATAATATCGCGCATCCACATACATGCCGATCGTTGTACTGCATTGAGCACTGGAAGGGGGCTTGTCCATCTTCAGCTTCCTCACCTCCGACTATATACCCTGATGACGGCTCCTGTGGTGCATAAACTAAATCGGTGGGAAATTAATAGCAAAATCACATAAACTTTGAATGATTCTATAAAATGCTTACGTATGTCACGAGCTGAGTATGAATAGACAGAAAGTGACTGAACAGCACAGATAAATAAGAAGAATAGTTTTGAATTCATTTTTGCAAGTGTTTTAAGGTTGCTTTCAACTTATTAACAATTGAAAACTTATAGCTCTTCTGCCCCATCGCTCCATTATTTATACTAGAATTGTGGAATATGGCGGATGACAAATGGTATGCGAAAGGGAATGAAAAAAATTCCAAAGCAAACGCAATTATCGTTCAAAACGTAAATCACCACCATTCGGAATTTACACACATAAAAATGCATTTGATGCATTAAAATGTGTGCAAGAGACATTTATTGTGTTTTGTTCAAGAATTTCCACATGAATCATCTTTATCATTTCTTACTCATTTTGGAGGCACAATGAGGAACTATTTTGTATTCGCATTTGATGTTTCTTGCGCATATTTGTCCACGAAAAGGAATGTGAAATATTTGGGATTGCATTACTTAAAGATTCATTTTCTCCTCACCTCAAGATGTCCCCTTTTGTTATTCACACTTAAGGTATATGTCGACAGGTTTTTCAGTTAGAAAATGCGCTGATGTACTAAGCCAAAATGAAGTACTTCATAACTTCTAGAAACACTTTTGTAAGCTGTATTTCTCGTATTTCGTACGCTAAATAAATGTTTAGAACATACTTGTATACATTCAACGCAGATATATGTACTGTAAATGGACTTATCGGCCGTGCACGTTAGATGTTTCTTGTTTCTCTAAAATCTTATAATAAAAGAATAGGGCAAAAAAAGCTTTCGTATATTGTGTTTTCATGGTTTGAAGTGTCTTCTTAGTTACGTTTTGTTGGTCATTTTTCAGAGTAAATCAAATTGTTCCGACACAATTAGAAGGCGCCATTTGAATTTAAAAAGCTGGCTTTATCTATTGCGATCATGACTTCTCATTTTATTGGATCTATTTGAAATGCGACTTTTATCTTTGGCCAGTGTAACCACTAACTACATTGTCAATCAAATCAACTGTTAAATCAACGCAGTTGTTCTATTGTTCACAGTAATCAAAGAAATAGATAAAAAAAGAACTGAAAGCTAGGGGCATATGAGTAAATTTTATCACGCAAATTTGCACAAATTGTTGATAGTTTTTGAAAATATACCAAAATTTTGGGAAAATTTTGCTATCATCACAAATGTCATATGCCCCTAGACTGAAAGTCTAAAGCCGCGATTATTATTGACTCACGGCGACTGATGAGACCACTGAATTCGAAATGGAAATCTGAAATAATAAAACGGCTAGAATTCGGCGTAATTATAATTTGTGCCTGGTAAAATTTATTTCATTCTTGATTCTGTCCGGTGACATGATGAAATAGAAACAACCTGTTTATTATGCCATTGAATAGAATTGAATTCACACATTTCGGAAAGAAGGCTTTTTTTTGCAGTGACTACAATTTTTCTTTTATCGGAACACATCATCAACAATGGCAGCACTACTGATACAAATAAGCTTTTAAACACAACAAGCAATAGATTGAACGATTTTGATTTAATTCAGAATGAAAATTCTTTATTTATATTAGTTGAATTCATTGATTACAAACAAAAGAGGATTTATTTGACTTATTTCAATTTGATGCGGTATTATTTTTAATCCAATCAAATAGGAAGGCGACCTTTGCGTAGGCATCTGGCTTGCCTCTGGCACAACTAAAAAAGAGGAAAGAATTTAATAGAAATCGATAAATTTTGGAAAATATTTTTAAAATTGGTTCATTCAATGTATATTTAATTGAATTCGACTTACGGAGTTCCCCAGTTGACGATTCCAATCAATTTGTTGCTGTTAACCAGTGGACCACCGGAGTCACCCTGAAATAATAAATGGATTAATATCGCATTTGATCTCAATGCTTATTTGAAAAGCTTACATGGCAAGCGCCTTCACCAACTTTGGTCAATGTACAGATGTGGGAGTCGTGGACAGGTGCACTTGAACCATAGATCTCTTTACATCTTTCGGTTTGGACTGCATTCAATTTAATGATTTGCAAGAGTTGTGGTGATGCACCGCCGACCTATTTAAGATATCCAGCTTGAAAATTTCCATTGAAAAAAGTCACATTTACTACACCTACTTGCAATGTACCCCATCCAGTTAGTTGGAGAACGGCGCCATCGGGAACTTCTTCCGAAGAGTATTCGATTGTTTTGACTTTATCACTGAATGTGATTGATCCTTGTACACGAACCACAGCAATATCATAAGCGTAAGCAGGCTTGTTGTATTGCTCGTGAGCAATGATTTTCTCAACTTTGTAAGACGTTCCACCATTCTTCAAGTCATTTGACCCAACGTAGATTTCCAGATTTTTTGCAGATTGACTGTGAGTAACACATGGATACAAGTGAGTAATGGAACAAAACAAAACTATACAAATTCATTCGTTTTACCCAGCAACACAATGGGCGGCGGTGACAACCCATTTTTCCGAAACGATAGCACATCCACAGTTATGTCTTTTGTTCACTTGCAATGAACATTGGAACGGAGCTGCACCATCCTCAGCATCGACGCCTCCAACAATTCTGTTTGATGGTGATTGCGGTGGGAACACTAAAGCAATTCAATAAACGATGACGATATTTAGATCCAAACTGAACATCTATTTAGCTAAACATTCAAATTGTACTTACAAATTTGTTCGGAGTCAATGTATTTCGCAGCTATTGTCTGCAAAATGCAGCACAACACAACTAATGTCAACTTCATTTTCGCAATTGTAGCTTTTAATTTACTTGTTAGCTTATGAGCAACTGAGAGACTGATGGTTCTACTGTGAAACTGAGCCGTATTTATACGAACCATTTGAAGAGTCTCTTCTGATCAGCAAACAGCTCGAGGAAGAAAGCGCGATATCATTATCAGCGTTAAATAGCTATTTACGCCGTAAAAGTCAAACAAATCGAAATCACTACTTTGCGACGCATTCAATTCAATTTCCGACGAACTCATGAAAATGATTCAAAAGAAGAAAAAAAGGGTAGAATTGGTCGTCAAGCTGTAACTAAACTTCTAAAAATTATAAAAATAAAACAACAAATCTAGTCAATTTCCAAGTAGCTCTCTGACACGAGCATTGATTACATGTGGAACTTTGTTCGATAGTTGAGCCTTTCTAAGCATTTGTTTACCAGCCACTTGAGATGTTTCGTATGTACAAATGTACGTTACACTTACAAAATGCTCATTGATTTCTATGGCGATGCGCCGTCAGCTGATTCGGATTCTTGCCTTGGGAAGTATATTCTGAGATTCAACTTCGGAGGCCTTATAATACTTCTTCTGAAGCGAATATATATTAGAGAAGATCCGTGGTTTATGATTACCACCGAATTTTGATGTGAAAAAGTCTGAAAAATCTGATCGCTCTTTTTGAAAAGCTTAGACAAAAAATGCTTTTCTGGCTCTGTTTTGTTCATGTATCGATCATTTTCAAATGGTATTGAAGATCTATTTTAAATAACCTCGGATGTCTATCAACCAAAAACATTGTCTGACTTTTTATCAGGGATCGAAAACGGTTTGACGTTTCTCATACATACCGATTTCGGAACGGTTTCACTGCTTTGCTCTCTGTTCATCGGAGCAAACCGTATCAAGCGGAACGTTCTGAGCAACATTCCAGCGTGTTGTCATTGTGTTAGTATCGTATACTAATACATGTAAGCATAAACGTTTCTGTGTGCCATACAAACCATTTTTCAGAATGTTCTAAATAGTTTGGTTCATTCACACACTCAAACCAAATATTCGGTTTGGTTTGGTTTCGATCCCTGCTTTTTATTAGGTTTTTGTGTTAAATTAATTACTAACAATGAAGTAAAAAACTTCCTATATTGAAATTTGTATGTAACAATTGAAATGGCCAATGGGACCATACAGCCAATGTAAATGAATTGATGACAGCGTATGAACTTTCTTCTAAAACTTAACGAATAAAGCATGGGAATGAAGCGTGGCGCCACCATCTTTCCCAATTTTATCATTGAAGTCAATGGAATACATAAGCGTTCAAAAGCGCAGCGATAGATGGCGCCTCTATGAATCCTATACGCAGCTTACTTACTGAATATGGCCCATTTGGAAATGGCCAAGTTGATTCAACGAGGCATCTCAATCGCAACTGATCGGTGTAATAATTATATTGATAAATACATATTATTGCTCATGTTTTTTCTAGGGACGAAAAATTTCTTGAATTCAAGCGATTCAAACCAATTAGCTTATCACAGAGAATGATGAAATGTTTGGGGAAAAACTAAAATTTACTCGATTTCTGCACATTTTTCATGAATCATTCACGTATGAAAATTATTTGCAATCTTATTTAAAAAAAATTCTAATTTTAAGTGATCAAGCGATTGATAATGCCAACCATTTTAAATATTCCGATTGAATAGATAAAGCAGAACATTGTTTCTCGGTGAAAGTATACTGTTTATCTTCAATTCATACTTTTAATGATCAAAAGTAATTCAGAAATTTAGTATAAATAGTGCAACGCTTGGATAAGACAATCACACATTTCTGCTTGTTTGTTTAGTCGAAAAGCATGGAAATGAAGTTACCGCTGTTCATATTGTGTATTTGTGCTGCACAAATAATTTCTGGTCATTTAATTCCAGAATCGATATGTAAGTAAATTTCGGTTCTCTTATATTGAAAATCAATGCGTAATTTAGGAAATTAACCGTGAAGCTTTCTTTACCAATTTGACAAATTAGTTTATCCACCACAATCGCCACCCTCGGGTTATATCGTTGGTGGATCAAACGCTGCAGATGGACTGGCTCCATTTCAATGCTCGATGCAGTATGGAGGACAGCATTTTTGCGGATGTGCGATATTATCATCGAAATTCATTATTACTGCTGGTCACTGTGCTGAAGCGTAAAATAACCGGCTTTTCAAATGATTTTACATACTTTTCAGCAAATATTTTCTTCTTTTACAGGCTAGATGCATCAAAAATTACCGTTTTTGTGGGATCTAATAAATTAAGCGGAAATGGAGCCCATTATGGGATTAAAAAATCCAAAATACATGAGAAATATGACAATCCGGCTTTTGCTTATGATATTGCTGTATTGGTTGTGAAGGGAGAGATCGACTTCAACGAAAAAGTTCAACCAATTGGATTATCAGCGTATGAGATTCCAGAGGGTTCTGTGGCACAATTGACTGGCTGGAGGCGTTTAAGTGTAAGAAGAAAACGATTTTAGATCAATGTTACTTAATTCTATTATATCTGATATTATTATGCAATAGAATTCCGGATCAGTGCCCGATCAATTGCAGGTGATAGAATTGAATGTGGTTCAAACAGCTGAATGCAAAAATATGCTTGGTCAAGCTGTTCATGATAGTCATATATGCACATACAACGGAGAAGGTGAAGGCGCTTGTTACGTGAGTTACTTGTATAATATAAGCTGAATTTTCAAACACATGCCTATGATATTTTTGAATTATGTAGGGTGATTCCGGTGGTCCACTGGTTTACAACAACAAATTGATTGGAGTCGTCAACTTTGGGAAACCGTGAGTTACATCAATACGAGATTAAATCAAACAGCTTTTCATTAAATTAATTTGTGTGTTACAGGTGTGCAAAGGGCGCGCCAGACGCCTACGCCAAGATATCCTATTTATATGATTGGATCAACGAGAATACCAAATCTAATTGAAAATAAAACAACCTGCGTGGTATAACATTTCCACCATAATTTGACATTTAATAGAAGAAATTGTCAAGCCAATAACATTTGAATAAAAAAATGCAAGATTTCTTTGTTCACCCAAATTCTTTATTGAGCCACATTTATTCACAGTAGACATGGACAAAGTGAAAAAAACCGAGAAACAAAAGTTTTACCCCCATTGAAAACAAGCAATAGATGCCATTGACAGAAAAACTCAAAATATATTACGTACATGTCTGTCAAAAGAAAAAATCTAATCAAAATCTATTTACAAAGAAAAAATCGAAACACAAGTATTTAGATTGAAAATCGATTTATTTATTTTCTTCCATTTTCATCGGTACTTTTTTCGTATTGAATCTTCTGCAGCTTCTATTCAAAATTCCAAGAGACACACATCAGTTATGCCAGGTGATGCTTGGTGGCGTTTCAATTCGATCAAATTGAAATCGGTTTTTGTTTTGGCCCACTTGGTTGCTAAGAAAATTTTCTCCGGAACATAAATCGTCGTCTTACATGCTCCGGCTAATTTAGCGCGTTCTTTATTCAGCGCAAGTAAATTAAGAATGGTTTCTTCATCTGCATTATCAAATCCACCGGTGCGAAAATGTTTTAATTTCGGTAAGTAGCTGGTGAACGATGCAATAGCATTCGGACCGCATTCCACAATATACAACCATTCAATATTTCGAACTTTTTCCAAATATTTTGGATTTTCACAATGAAGAACTGTCAACTCTTTGAAATATGGCAGTGGATGTGGGAAGTCCATGCATCCATCTGAAGCCAACTGTTCTAGTCCAATATTCACGAGTCCATCTCCATAATTACTAGCCCATCTCTCATTAGAACAATCATCGATGAATATATGCAAACGCTTATACAATCCTTTCTGATGGACTCGTGCCAATTTCACCAAGTAATCTTCGCCGTCGGATCAAATTTGTTTTATATAAAAGCGAATGCGCAATTGATCGAATGTGATGTCGATATCAGTTAAAAAAGGTGCATCATCAAATGTCTCCCATATGCTCTGTACATTCGTATTCAAACGGAAGAAGGTTTTAAGTTTTTCAATTTCACTTGGCGATCGCATTAAATTTCGTTCATTGAATATGATGTGTTCAAGCGTTTGATACTCACGAAGCAACCAATCATTTGAACTACCAATTAAAATGTCTTGGCCGCTCACATCGACAGTTAGACACTTTAAATTTTTGCAATGTTTTAGAAAAACTTCATAGAAATCGCAACTAATTTCACATTTGACTATGGCAATTCTTTCGACATTGTTGAGCGCTGTTTTAATGTCCTCAAATTGATATTGATCATTTTTTCGTACGACCACTACAAGATTCTTGATCAACTTGATGGTAGTAATGTCCATTCGGCGAAACATATCAAAGCTCCGTGCGTCACATATTTGAAATTCTGCAAATTTCGGCCAGTTGGTTTTGATGTAATGATCGACACTTCCTTTCAATCGCTTACACGTTTTACGGAGTAGCAACAGATCGGCTTGTGACAACCATTCAAAAAGCTCTTCCAAACAATCAATGTCCAACTTAAGTAATTCCAATACTGATTCAACAGTCCATGGCTGATGCAACAGGTCCAGTTTCAGATCAATCTCTTCTGTAGCTAATCTAAGTGCCAATCTAGGCTTTTTGAATTCCGTGGATATTTTTGAACCACCTCCCTCTCCACTCATTTTGATGACATGTCAAAGAGGAGTAGCATTAACGGATGATATTGAACCTGTTAAATAGAATTGAATATTTAATTGGACCCATTTGGATGGAACCAATGTATAACACACAGTTACTTACACAGTTGTTCCAAATCGATTGACAATCTAATCGAAAGTAAGAATTCGGACTATTTGTTTTTAAGAAAGTCACTTTCGGTATTTCGTTGAATTATTTTATTATCAACGTTTGAATAATGACATTTATCTCTTTCGCAAACACTATGTGCGCAAATAGTGTGTGCGTAGTCAGATATGGATTTGCAAGATTACAGCGATAATTCCAGCTATGAAGATTGTATATACGTGGAATATATATACGTGCTAAACAACAATCGAACACTGTATCTGTATTTGCAGGTTTAAAAAAAAATAATTTTGTTATATTGATTCCACTTAGAGATCGGCGATGAAAAACTGGCCAGAAGACAACGTTAAATTTATCATTGTATAGCGATAATTACAATTACAAGCAATATTATGAAGTTCTTTTAATAATTTACTATTCATTTATACTCTTAATTAATCAAGAAGTATCATTTTTATTCACTGAACTTCTCGTTATGTTCGTGAAACGTGGAACAATTGACAGAACATGCTTAAAAATTGAATGAATTTCTACTTTGTATGAATTCAATGTTGTTTATTTCACAGCAAAATTGTACTTCGTAAAAGATGTTCAGTATTGCTGTCAAAAGCAACGCGTCAACTTGACAAATAAACAGCTGATAAGACATTCGACAACGCAAATAAAATTGTTGTATGATTCAAATTCAAATTCTATATAATAATGCTGTAATTACGAAACCGGTGGTTTCAAACCACTGAATATTTTTGCATGCCTTTTTGAAAACAAATGTAGGGAATCGAACCAGCTTTCATTTGATACCTTACTCGTTACAATTTATCAGCTGTATCGAAAGTTTTTCATATTCATGTACTGCTGTACCTTACTTCCAACATTCTTGTGATCAGTATATCTCTGAGGCCTATATCAATCATATGAAGAGTATTCTGAAAATAAATAAAAATGCACGCGTATGTTTTTTTTTCACTCAGCAAAATCCTTTTATTACTTTCATTTGATTTACACTGCTTCAAGTCGATAAGAAAATAATGCTTTTGTTTATCTGCAATGTTATTGACTTTTCCTTTTTTTCCATTAATGTTGAACGGTACTTGAGCTTTGTGCGCATTCAATACAATTTTTATGTTATCTACAAATAACTTAAAACATATTGCTTGTGTTGAACCACTTGTACTGTGAAAACAAAGGGAAAAAAGAATGATAATGGGTTAGATGATTCATGGTACGTGTAAGTAGAGATAGTTGCAGGGAATTTTTCATAATTCAAAAACAAACGCTTACCAAATATTGGCCGGGGAATTTCTTTTTACACGTTTTGCATTGAGTTTCGGCAATTGGCAAGTCTCTTGATGAATAACACTGTAGCAAACGTAGCATTCCTCGACGCCATCGAATCTGCGATCGAAATTTCTCTTCCACAACGATAGACCATCCCAAATGGAACCATTTTGAAGTGTTAAAAAGATAGATAATTGCATGAAAACCACTCGTGACTGGAGTTTATCGCCGATTTGTTGACCGCAATTGACTTTTACAACGCCAAGTGGGAAATTCAAGGGCATGAGCGCGACACGTACCGTACAAACGAAGTTTCGTACACGCAGCGCCCGAGTACTTTGTAGTGGAAAAAAAGTGAAGCTTGCTTGTCACCAATATTGATGTTCACGAACATCAAATTATTTATGCGTTGTTTCGCCCACTTTATGCACTAAAAATATTAAATTCCTTGATCGGTATCAAAGAATTTGGAGAATTTCGATGTTGGCTGACATTTCCACTTTAAAGTACGCCGTCAAATATTATTAGTCATTTTCAATCAATGGCGACACAGTCTTGCCGACACTGAACACAAATTATCAAAATAGACATATTTTTTCAAAACTTCAAAACAAATTTCATTTAAAAAATGATGCAAAGCAGTTATTTGATTTTACTGTATTCAATACAGTCATAATGAATAGCATTGCATTTGTTGCATAAGAACGTCGTCATGAATTGAGTACTAAAACCGGTGTCCGCCACATTGTACATTTTAGTACAGTTCGATTGTCAATACTAAAAGCGAAATCGATCAAATCAAGTAAACAAAAGCAAAATTGATTCACAATCATAAAAATCCCTCAATGTTCGAGATTTTTCGCAACCGAAAATATTCGGCTAATATGAAAAAGAATCTATCGCTTCAAGTTGGGAAGATTCCGATTCGGATTCGGCAAAAGTGTCGTAGAATTTCAGCACAGCTCTTTTCAGAGCTTCCGAAATTACTTATAAAGAACTCATTAAAAATCATTGATCATATATATAAATTCTTATCATTTCTGTTTAAGCCATGCAAGTGAAAGTCCAGAGTTGTTTGGATAATCAATAAATGTATTTTATTTTCTTTTTTTACTCACTAAACAATTTTCTTATTATCTATTTTGCCGCGTTGGCTTTCATTCTTGCTTCTTCGCCGCGTTGGCCGTCATTCTTCTTCCGCGTACTTAAATCTACTGCCGTTCTTTTTCTTATTGTGCCCGTTCTATCTCTGTGTTGGTGTGCTGCGGTGTCGTGGTGGTTCTCGATTTTGGCTGCATACTCACACACAGCTGCTTGCCAATATCGTACAATTTCGTTCAAAAACAAATCTGTATTAGTAGAAATGTATTTGTTTAACTTTATTTGATCAACTGCTTTGTCCACAACAGTTTTTGTTTTCAATCCATAATGGCAATAAAATGCTGCTTCAAGAAATGTAGCACATCACGTACGTACGACGATCGAACAACGAACTAGGGGGATTTAACTACGTGAATACTTGTAAAAAAATGATATAAACGCGCACGAAATTGTTACATTCACCAGAGAACTTGCATGATTCCACTCAGTTGACAAGTTCCGTATTAAAACAACATGCGCGAACTTGTGCGAACGCGCGTGAGTCCGTGTGCAAACATGAAGCTGGACGACGCGCACACATCAGTCGTTCCATTTATTATATCTGGATTAACTTTTTCTTCCAACACTTTCTCCAGCTCTTTAAAAATATTTCCTTTGTCCATTTTATAATTATATAAATCTTTGAACTTTTGGAAAGGATGTGAAAAATCTTTATACACGTAAACAACCGATTTTTAGTTTGAAACGCGTTTTAGTTGTCAAATAACAACTTGAAAAACGCGCAAAACCATAAACAAACTTGTGTAAACTTGTGACCGTGCGCGTCAGTACGTACAACGAACGCGTCGAACTTCCGCGAATCAAGCAAACTGGCAGAAAACATGCTGCACTCGTAAGAGTTAAATTCCCCTAGACAACGAATTAAAATGATTGATTTTTTCAATACTTTATAACTTCTTGTGGTGGCTCTGGAAAGATTCGATTTTTTTATGAATTCCCAATCAAAAGCAACGATTTTTTCGAGCTGGTGACGGCTTTGGTGAAATGTTCTCTTGGGCCTTGTCGCATTTCTTTGCTGATTTTTGGTGCCATTGCTAATGTTAATCGTTTGACTGACGAACACGAACTAAATGACGTGCACAAGTGACGTGCGCTCTTACATAGCGTTTCAGTAAGTGGATGACGTAAGCGATTCGATATTGTAATCCCCACCCATTTCGTCGAGTGTGCTATAATGCAAAACTTATATAAAGCAGACGTGTACTGCTGTGTGAGCATCATTCTGTTTTTGAGTGTCAAATGAGTAACAATTGTTGAGCCACAAGGAAAAAATATCTGGATGCATAGTTTTTTCAAGTTTTCAAAATGATAACTTGTGTATGGTAGGTACCCTTAAATCACGTAATATTTGCTTCAAACTTTCAGAGGACTGAAAGTTTCATGACAATCGCACTAGCAGGAAAAAAATCGTTTTTTTTTTTGAAATTATATGGAAAATCTCAAAACGCCGATCGAGCGGGGCGTGCAGGAAGGGGTGATCGGACAAAAGTGCCAGAACAAAAATTGTTCTTCTGGACAACTTCTACCAAAGCCACACTGCACCCCCCAATATTTCTTTCATATAAGAAATCGATGCACCCACACATAGAAAAGAGAATCACTAGACCCTGCAAATTCTATTTAACCTTTACACCGTGAATGGTTTTTTCGACATATATCCGTGAGTCTGGGTCAGATTGACCCATAATGCATTTTATATGGAAATCGGCTATTTTTCATGCAAATTAACTGGCACAACACTGGTATTTTATGGAAAATCAATTTTATTCGACTTTATTGGTTTGAATGTGTAGTTTATGAATCACATGTGAGTACACATGTGTGGATTACATATGTTTTGGTAGAAAAAATAGTAGAAAAAAAAGTATGTTTAACACTATGACTGTTCTTCATATTTGCAACATATGACTGTTCTTGGGGGACTCCAGGGCCCAATATGTATTTCATATGAAATCTGGACTGTTATAAGAGATAACAAATTAGTGTCTGGAGCAAAGTTGTAATACTGGAGGTTTGCTATAATTTGGTTGCAACAAATATTGCTTATCTCTTATCAGTTTCGCGAAAAATGATAAGCAAAAACTCGCGTTTTTCGCGTTTTTTCGCGTAACTGATAAGAGATATTGACTTGATGTCTATGACATAGTTGTAGTACTCAAGCTGTTCTACAACTTTGCCGAAGACACCAAGTCGTTATCTCTTATCAGTTTCGTGGAATACGCGAGAAACCGCAGAAAACCGCGAAAAAACGCGTTTTTTCCTTATCATTTTTCACGGAACTGATAAGAGATAACGAGATGGTGTCTGAGGCAAAGTTGTAGTTCTGGTCGAGTACTACAATTATTCCGATTCATTATTTCGTTATCTCTTATCAGTTCCGTGTGACTAAGTTCTGTGTGATAGAAGTTGTCATTAAAAGACAGGTGAA